TATATGCCATAAAACCGCAAACCTAGTTTCTTAAAATATGTTCACACACATATAAGCGATAAATACAATAATTTTAATAAGTTTCCATAACAATAACATTGTTGATGAGTACGTAGGTTTGCTGAAACAAGGAACACAAACAATTGGTTTCTATGAAAATATGAATAGAACTTAATTATGAGTGTAGGTTTTATTGGATTTACTCATTAACCACTTAACCAAGGTTAATAGATGAAAATACAATGTTATTTGTTTTTAAACTCGATAAAATCGTCAAAACCAAATATGTTTTTTTTGTCTTGACGATATTTTTAAAAGTACAAACAAAAAAACCCCAATATAATTGAAATTCTTTTCTCAAAACATTTTATGTTCTAGGTTTGAAAGAAATCCGTCTATTCGGTTGTTCCGCCAAAACTTAAGACATAGGATACAGGCAGCTCTGGTCCAACCCCCAGCTGGAGCCAACTGTGAACCCGATGACGATGAACTTTTGTCGACAATGACGATAGATAAAGAGACAGAACCACACAGCGGATCCTCATTAGCCTGTGAGTCAGCCACGACCGCCCTCCCCACTGAAGAACATGAAAACTCTCTTACTCCAGAATCGGACACCGACGAGGAAAACGACGCCGGTCTTGGATCCTCATTGCCATCATTGCAGTCCTGTTCCGTTAGGTGAGTATAATTAAATGCCTTATAAGTTTTTTATAAGTGTTTTGAATGGGAAATCATATTTATCCACTAAACTGGAGAAGCATACTATTCCTTCATTAAGTAATAATGCTGTAAGATAAATGGAGAGCTGTGAATAGAGATATTAAATAGTTTACAACTATTTTAACTAATTTTTAGTTTTAACTCATTTACAGGCCTACAATTTTTAACTAATAAATGTTATTTTTACAAGGTATTTCACCGGTTATGGGGTCAAGTCATGCTTAAATAAATTCAATTGCGCCGACTGCAGGAGGGAACTGTTGAAGCTGCCACCTGTTCATACAGCAGACAGTCCTGAAGAGGCCCTCATCAGGAACAAGGAGTATCGGCATGACACATACAGTTTGATATACCCTACGGACAAAACAACTGAGGTAGTGGACATGGTGCTAAGTGTTTTGGACAAAATTTTCAAGACCAAAATACACGTTGTTGGTTTTAAGAAAAATGTGCTCTTGAAAGCCAAACAACTTATTTTCAAGACCCACTCAGAATGGATGAGAGGTGCTACGGATTGCTACAAGCACAGGGAGTTCTTAATAAATAAGATTGTCTCCGCCAAAATTAAAAGAACTCTGCAAGCAATGTCCAAAGAACTGCGCCAGCCCGGTGGGAAATATGGTAATCACTGGGAGAAAGTGATGAAATTGCAAAACAAGTAGGCTCTTTTCTCTTTCAATGCCATGTATATGCAATGATAAATCAAATGTATATATAGCAAAGCAAGTTATTGTATAAAAATATTAACGAAGTACTTGTCCTTAAAAAAATCAGATAAGATACCAGTAAAATTCAATAACTTTAATTGTAAAGTAATTTAGGTTTCATAATAGTAAATTGTATTCCTTCAATTCAAACCTGTCAAATTTATTAATGTTCCCAGTTTTTTTGTCAACTTTAATTTTATTTCGACTAAGTAAACATTATCCAAATTTAATACATCAAATCACAGAAATTACTTTTTCAACTGTAACAGTTCTGAATTTATGGCGGAGTTTTTTTAGCCGGTAAAAGTCCGGCACTACTCTCAAATACGGGTTTTTGAGTGTCCATGAGGATTTCCACTCCGCCCGACAAAATAAAAAGGAAAAAAAATGATATAGAATTAAATGGGATTCTATAAGGAAATTATTGCTTATTATTAATTAACTACATCCTTGGTAATGAAATATCAGTTCTACATATCATGCACCCTTTACACTAATTTGATGTTATAACAGTAAGAGGATTTTCATGAGTGATCGTAGTACATTTATCAAGGGAGAAGTAGGTATATGGTTTGACAAGAGGACAGTACTGTCGCTTGTGGCTAGCCAGCACCCTGCGAGGGATCCATTTGCCAAAGGTATGTTCAGCGGGTTCAGTGTACACAGTACGTGTACGTCGGTGTCGAGTCGAGTCGACGGCCAGTCCCGGGTTGGCGCTCGGTGCGGCGGTGCCGTTCTCATACGCCGCTGTATCCCCTCCTAGCACACGGATCGTTAGTTCCTCGCGGCGCCACAAGCTGTGCCACTGCGCCGCTGCCGTCGACACTGTTGCTACAAAACTCCGCAAGATCGCACCACTGTTCCCCCGTCTTCATCTTTTAACATAGCTATAACTGATCTACTTAGGGAGTATGTTTAATCTATGCTTGTAGTATTCAAAGTTTATGGTCCATTTGGTTCACATAAATAAGATGCCTGTTTGCAGTAAAGCCAATGGTAGGCTTACTTCTGGTTTACTTAAATCATGGAATGTATATTTGCAGTATTCAATGTCAATGATACATATGATTCGCATAAATAAAATGCCCATTTGCAGTGTCCAAACTCAATGGTAATTTGGTTCACGTAAATGAATTGTCTACTTACAGTATCCTATAAGTCAATGGTTCATTTGATTCACGTAAATGAAATGCCTAATTGCTATAACCAAAGTCAATGGTACGTCTGGTTCACGTCAATGGAATGTCTACTTGCAGTACCTATCCAAACTCAGTGGTATCTTTGGTTCACATTGATGGAATTCTTAATTGCAGTATATCTATTCAAAGCCAATACCACACATTATTGAATGGTACGTCTAGGAAAGTCTACTTGCAGTATCCAAACTCAATAATTGAATGGCTCCCCGGAAAAACGTTCCAAGCGCCAGAATTAGAGTTTGCAGGTTTTTAAAACAAAAACGTTCCTTGTGCTTTTGTCTATCAAGTGGTTTGGCCGATTTTATAACAAAAACATTGAATTATGGGTAGGGGAATTTGGCACTCAATGGAAGAACGTTCCTTGTGCAGCGTATTGGGCAGACAAGACCATGTCTTCACTGTTGTCAGGCCTTATAAAACAATTAAATAGAGGCAAAAAACTAAAGTTAAACATAGATTTTTGGAAGAAGAAAGTTAAGAAGAGTCATAGAAATAGCGGGAAAGAGTAAAAAACTACAAAAATGAAGTAGTGACTGAAAAAATACTTATTTCTGAAGTAATTGGAAAAACGTTACTTGTGCTACAATGCACACTACAGTTGAACACTATAACGTTAGTGATCCAGAATATTTACCAGGACATAAGAATTTAATTTTCATTTCTAAATACTTATTATTAGTAAATTACAACCTAGCTGTTGTCAATTTACTGTTTACTGTCTTATATGTTATTTTTGTTAAGTGAATGGGCGGATTTCTCATGTTCCTGCACACACAACGGCTGCAAGACTATACCTTACGTGACTGACTATACTGTACCAAGATAATACGTTTTTCTACAAGATTTTGTGTGTTATTTTAGTTAAATGAAGTGCAATATTGTAAAATTAAAAGTCCCAAGCACACAAACAATATCTGCTTAATAAAAAGGCTAGGGGTTATGTCGGTTTCATTAACAAGATATTGTGTATTCTTTTAGTAAAATAAGATTCAATTTTGTAAAAAAAAATTCTTTCACTTGCAGTTTGAGAATTTCTGTACCTAAGCAATAAAAATAATGAATTATTGTAGCTATTAAAACTTTATTCTTTACAAAACGTTCCAAACGCCAGTATTGTAGAGTAGAGTGCTATGTTTCAGTAGAAAAACGTTGCTTGTGCATATCAAACTAGGCCCAATCAACGTTTTTCCACTACATTTACACTTAAAATGTCAAAAGCTTAATAATTTGGATTTTTACTTGAAAAAAAAATCCTTATAACATCGTTTTGACTAGACCTATCAAGTAGAATCCAAAAAAATCCAAAAAAAAATATCTTTAAAAAATTACTCTCTTAACCTTTTTTTTAGTTTCTGTAAAGTTTACAAAACGGCGCATGGCACGTTTTTCCAGGGAGCCATTCCAGGGTAGGCCTATGGTTCATGTAAATGGAATGGCTATTTGGATTAAAGTCAATGGTGCATCATCAGCCTTATTCCGGCGACACGAATTAATTATTGGTTATTAATTTTGTAGAAAATTATGTTCAATGATAGTAATCCGATTGTTCTTTCCTTCTCCTCTGTACGGTATTTGTAATGTACCGGTACTATTTAGATGATTCGTTAACTAACATATATGTTGTGACTCTTGTTTACCTTTTTATTATCTTGCAAATACAGTGGAACCTTGATAAGAAGACCCTCGATAACAAGTCGCCCTTGATAACAAGTGTTATTTTAAAATCCCCTTAAAATTATTTTACCACTAATCACATGTTATTACAAACCTCGATAAGAAGTCAACCTTGATAACAAGTCTTATTTTACAATCCCCATGAGAGTCTTGTTATCGAGGTTCTCTACTGTAATGCCATGGCAACCAATAATTCCATAAGGCCCATGTTAAATTTCCAAAAGTTTAAATTCACGTAGGGAAAAGCCCTGTGGTCTGATTTGTACCATTTCAGATTTATACCTACCCATGGTTGGCTACTATGATTGTGCTAAATTTGGTGCAGATCGCTTTAACCGTTCAGGAGGAGTATTTGTAAAACATAATCAGGAGTGTAGTATAAGAGTTTCGCTCGCTTCGCTTCGCTCCGCTCAATAAATTTCACCTCCAAAGCCGAAATTGTCTTGTTAAACATTATTTTCTCTTTAACACACTTATTAGGAGATTTTGTATTGATACCTTTGTTATTAGTTGAGTAAGTACATTGTGTGTTTCTAGCTTACTTGTGTTTAGGAGCACAACAAACGAATAGTGTAATTTCAGCATTTAACTACAAAGTCTAATACATACAAGCTTGTATTTGTTGTTAAGTAATGTCCACATGTTTCCCAGGCAGGTGCCAACTCGGCGTTCCACGAGGCTGTAGGAGAGACAATAATGCTAGGGGTCCAGAGTCCCCTTCACCTGGAAAGGCTAGGGGTCATGGCCAGCGATGAAACTGATATTCAAAAAGGTATCTGAAGGGACTGTGCTGTTCATAGTAAACTTGTGAACTACGAGAAGTACCAAGATCGCTTTAGGTCTCTTGCTATCTTGGGACCCAGTTGTCCTTTATCATTGGGCTATAAAGACTTATAATAAATGGTCATGGCTAATAAAGAACTAGTTGATATTAGTATAACTATAATCTATTGTGTAATGTCATCTGATACATTCAACACCGATCTTCAAACGCCAATCTTCGCCTTAAAATACGTAACCATGTTTGTACCGGTGTCCGGTAGGCTTTTCACGAATCTATTCTATATATATCTAAGCTAACTTTAGCACTGGTAGGTCTACGTCTAGGAATATGTATAATCAATGCTTGTAGTATGGACATTCAGAAAACCCTTGATAAGTTACAGTTTACAAAACGAAATTATGAGAATCCCTATTTATGGAACAGAAAGAGAGATATGTAGCTAAAAATCTATATCTTCAATTAGCTTGGCCATTGAGGTGTTTCCTGCTTGTCAATTTAGACCAATATTTTGACATGGAGATGGATTTTATTTTATCTGACGCATTATAATATAATGTCGTATTTACAGATCTGGAAATTCTCCTTTTACTCAAGACAGCCCTGAACAAAGTCCCTCAGATAGTGTTTGGCATGATGATGGACAAATGGCGATGGAAGGTGATGCGGGGAGAAGTGACTCCCCAGGAGTACAACACGGAGTGGTGGAGCATGCACAAGGAGTTCCTACGAGTCAGTCCTCCTGTGCAGCGGTCCAAGGCTGACTTTGACCCGGCGGCCAAGTTTCACATTATGGACAACACGCCGTATATAAGGCAAGTTCAGTGTAACACCGACATAAAAAAGTAAGCTCAATAACAATGGCAGTCGTGAGAATATATATGACTTGGAAAACAAATCCCTGGGTAGGTATGTTCAACGTGCTCATTTTCGTGACCAAAAGTTTTGAAAACCACCACGCAGCATCGTTACAAACGAGACGTACCTAAAGTTGAAGAAAGCCTTGTTGGCTTAGCCATCCAATCGCATTTGCTACAGTCATTAGGCTCGTTTATATATTTAATACGTTAATTTGTGCAAAAACGCGTCTCTAGATATTTCTCACTCGCATGACTGTTATTCGACTGTATGAGTCATGGGACGTAACCCTTTTTTGTTTCACAGATACTTCTTAAGTGGTTTCCTTCAGATGCAGTTCTTCGAGTCTCTGTGCTTGGCCACAATTCCTCGCCAGGCAAAACTTCCTTTCCCTCTTCATCGCTGTGATATTTACGGAAACAAGGAGGCAGGTCGTCTTTTGAGGTAAGTGTACTAGACTGGTATAAAAGAACAGGGTGTATTTTTTAAAACGCAACACAAATTAATCAACTTCTGTGAAACAATCGCTTTTACGACGATATCAATTATCAATTATTTAATATCTATATCTATCTATCTATCTATAATATTAAAACGAAACAGGGTTTTTTATTTCACGATTCTGAATCAACCACTTGACGGATTTTCATTATTTTTGTGTTGAAAGAAAGATAATTTTGAGAACTAGGGAATGTCGCAGCCACAATTTTAGTTTAGGGTCCCAGTTTTTTATAAATTAAGTTTTAATTTTTAAAAAGTCTACCAGCCGACGCTAAGATTCTAAACTAGCTTTTGGCATAAAATAATTTGCTTAACATAACAGCTGTAAACAATCAGCTTTTGTGTCACAAATTCAGCATTTGGATAAAAATGTAAAGACATACTTAGGGTTGACTTATTTATACTATGTGTAATGCTAATCATTGATACGTTCGATTCTTCTGTAAGAGGATGACAGATTAATTTAATATACATAGTAAAATACTAGGATGTTCAAATTATTTTTTAAAGCAATCTTTGTAATCTTCGATTTGTTTTAGAGCAATATAATTTGTTTTAACTAAAAGCTGGTTAGTTATAAAAATGCCCTATAGAACTATGAGGTTATTTACTCTGATTTTGTCATTGATATAGGAAATAAGTAAGATTAGTAGACCACCGAGATAAGTAACACCATCGATGTGTACAAGTCGAGGCTCTGTACACGAGTTAAATAAAAAAGATATGCAAATTATTTTACTGCCGCTAATTATTAATTATTAATTTTTTTTTCAACTTTTTAGAAAGGGTAGGAAAACCACAATTTTTACATATTTTAATTCATGTTGGCAGCTTTTTGTTTACAATCAATGTTTTTGAATGCTTGAACTTTGTTTGGATTAGGCCCGGAAATATTGATGTCATAAATATGGAGATCAAGAATCCTCAGGAATACAATTTTAAATTACCACCACAACCTCAGACGAGTGTTATTCAAAGATAAACAGACGAATGACATAGATTTAACACAAAGTCATCATTGACCTAGGATACTGCAATTAGACTAACCATCCTTTTATGAAATCTAAAAAAGTTGTTTGGCGTGTGTTTAGTTGTGGTTACGTTTGGAGGCGCTGAATATTTTATAGTTTAAATTAATGAATATGGGGAATTACGATGTGCGTTGATTCAATGAGGGTGGTTTGATTATCAAGGATATTGGAACTGATAACGGAATGGATAATAAACATAGACAATTAATTACCTCACTAGATTTACTAGCGTGTTTTACGTTTTTAATTCCTTCAACATGTGACCAGTTCATTTGTTCAAATGAATATTATTTTATTTTTGACTCAGCTGTTTACCAAAACAAACTATATGTTGTTGTGTTTACTTTTCTTTGTTTATACGCTTATTTATTTAGCAGAAATTGATGTCAATGGATGCAGTGAAATTGACATAAAGGATGTGTGTGGACGAATTGTTTAATGATGTCAGGACACCAACGTTATAATTATGTGTACTGTGAATTTTATTGGATATTTTCGTTTTATGGTTTATTTATTATTATTGGTGATATTGATTATGGAAGAGGTAGGTAGGCTATGCGATGGAAGGTGATATCATTGACTAGGCCTCCATACACTTCTCAATTGATAATTACTCCTTCTACTGTAGGCTGCAATAAAATTTGTCTTTATACGTGTAAACTAGCTGTTCTGAATTATAGGCCAACTCCGTTTTAACTGACTACTCCCGTACGTAGGACGGGCTAACACCTCGTTTCACTTTAAAATGTAGGTAGTTTTCCCTTACCGTGAAGGATCTGCGTTATCAGGAAATGTGTTATTTTGAACTAAACATATCAAACACTTGCGTTTAATCAAGTTTTGTCGTAAATGCAATCTGTGTAAGTATTTAGTTTGTGCATTGCAAATTTCAACTCATATTTGGGAAATATTTTTTCAGCAGTTTATCACTTAATTGTTTAAGATATAAATGGTTTACATGTTGATACTTCTTTTTCTATATGTTTGAATGTGATGAGTATGTTGGCACGGTAAAATTTTGGTTAGTAATGAAAGCGTCAATCTGTGTAGTAGGTCTCTATAAAACTGTTACCGGTAAATAAACTTCATACTTGCAGAGTGCAGCAGAAACCAAAGTCGACTCATACCATACCCACTATCCCCGTAGTACTGATGATTCAGAAACTTGGGCACTGACCAAAGAACCGAAAAACCTTAATGATGGGTTAGATAATAAAGTGCAGAGAAAATATACAGACCAGTTCAAGATAACGACCCGGAGGTCGAAATAAAAAAAGAACAGAGAGCTAAGAGAAATGTGTTAACACCAAAATATAGGGATGCTTTCCAGAAGTAGGTAAAGCTTGGGTGGACAGGCTGTGCATAAACTTTAAAAAAGTATATTCCAAGGAGTACCACACGATAGGCGGGAAACATCTAGTTATGAAATGCATCCTCAGACTGGATCTAAATTTTGAAGAGGCAGGTGATAGAAGAGAATCCTCATAAAAGTTTCAGTGGTCACGGAGATACGATGAGGTAGGCCTACGTTAAGTACATAAGTAGTACAGTATGCAATTGGAGGTGGCATGTAGCTACTTTACTCAAAACCAGTGTGAATCGGTCGCCAATCTCACTTATTGCACTTATCACACTGTTGCTGTTTTATGGTAAAATTATCGGATTTAAAATACATATCGCCATATTTTAGGTCTATATTCGAATGGAATAAATAGGTGGTTACATTTGTTTATAAGGTGATCTTCCCCATTAAAACAGCCAGAATTTTTGTCTATGCGTGTAAACTAGATGTTCTGAATTATTCCGTTTTAGTTGACAACTCGATTCCCGTACGTAGGACGGGCCACGTATATAAGCTCGTATATAATATTAAAACGAAACAGGGTTTTTTTTATTTCACGATTCTAAATCAACCACTTGACGGATTTTCATGATTTTTGTGTTGAAAGAAAGATAATTTTGAGAACTAGGGAATGTCGAAGCCATAATTTTAGTTTTGGGTTTCAGTTTTTTAGAAATTAAGTTTTAATTTTTAAAAAGTCTAGCAGCCGACGCTAGCAATTTAAAGTATTTTCAATGCTGGTTTAACTAACAGCTGGTTTATAACTGTCATTGAAATGTTTATGTTACGAGTTGTTTGTTTACAAAAATATTGTTTGTTAGTGTTTGTCTACATACTATTTCACAATGTAGGTAGTTTTCCCCTACCGTGAAGGATCTCCGTTATCAGGAAATGATTTATTTTGATCTAAACATCTCAAACACTTGCGTTTAATCAAGTTTTGTCGTAAATGCAATCTTTGTAAGTATTTAGTTTATGCATTGCAAATTTCAACTCATATTTGGGAAATATTTTTTCAGCAGTTTATCGCTTAATTGTTTAAGGTATAGTGGTTTACGTGTTGATAACTACTTCTTTTTCTGTATGTTTGAATGTGAGTATGTCGCCATACTAAAATTTTTGTTAGTAATGAAAGCGTCAATCGGTGTAGTAGGTATCTATAAAACTGTCAAATAAACTGCAGGGTGCAGCAGAAACCAAAGTCGACTCATACCATACCAACTATCCCCGTAGTACTGATGATTCAGAAACTTGGGCACTGACCAAAGAACCGAAAAACCTTAATGATGGGTTAGATATAAAGTGCAGAGAAAATATACAGACCAGTTCAAGATAACGGCCCAGAGGTCGAAATAAAATAGAACAGAGAGCTAAGAGAAATGTGTTAACACCCAAATATAGGGATGCTTTCCAGAAGTAGGTAAAGCTTGGATGGACAGGCTGTGTATAAACTTTAAAAAAGTATATTCCAAGGAGTATCCCACGATAGACGGGAAATATTAAGTTATGAAATGCATTCTCAGACTGGGATCTATATTTTGAAGAGGCAGGTGATAGAAGAGAATCCTCATAAAAGTTTCAGTGGTCACGGAGGTAAGATAAGGTACGGTAAGTACATAAGTAGTACAGTCTGCAATTGGAGGTGGCATGTAGCTACTTTACTCAAAACCAGTGTAAATAGGTCGCCAATCTCACTTCAAGATTTTTCAAATCGACACAAATGCTGTTTTATGGTAAAATTAACGGATTTAAAATGCATATCGCCATATTTTAGGTCTATATTCGAATGGAATAAATAGGTGGTCACGTAACATTTGTTTATAAGGCGATCTTCCCCATTAAAACTGCCAGAATTTGTGTCTATGCGTGTAAACTAGATGTTCTGAATTATTCTGTTTTAGTTGACAACTCGATTCCCGAACGTAGGACGGTCCATAAGCTCGTACTAGATAATTGCATAATACATGATACTAGCTCATGTGTTAGTGAATTGGTATCCCCGTTTTCTTTACTTCATCAGCCAATACATATAATATATATATGTAATATAGGTCTATATATTATATATAGACCTATATATATATAATATATTTCTGCATATGAGGTATTGATTGAAGTTTCCAAATTACATCTGGAAATTTATTCTCCACCCTTTATAAAAACCAATTATTTACTTTCAATGTACAAGAAATGAGATTGCGAAAGCACTATGTTGAGTCTTTATCAACAATTTAGTCCCAAGAACAGTAAAACTCATAGATAACTGTAACAATGCATATAGGGCCTAAGCCAGACAGTATAACATAGGAACATAGGTAATATAAGTAAAAACAGGGATACCAACATATGAGTTTGGTGTTGTCTTTAAAATGCTTGTAATTTGGATTGCATAAAAAACACTTTTATTTATTTATTTATATGTGTACTTTTTGTTTCATTTATAATAATGGCTAGGTATCTTTTCCCAATTTATTCACTTGATGAGGGTTCAATCACGTCAATAGTATGTTACATTTGTCTGAATTATTATTATGTCCCAGATGTGTTAGAGACAATTTTGCTGCACACGAGAGCAATGTTGTAGGAATGATCTCGAGTGCAGCAAAGGCCTTTTGCACTCGTGTTACACATTATATTTTTCCTACAGTCACTTATAAAGCATATAAATAATTAGTCTTTCAAACACTATACAACACGTTTTTAGGTTCAGCTGGCAACACAAATAGGTGCCATAGAGATGGTAGTACCCGGTCCATATCACTCCGCTATTTTTCCTCGGCAAGAAATGTGCTCCGCGACTTGAGAATATAGTTCCGTATGTTTTTGTAATTTGAAGCGGTTTCCAAGCCTTAAAAAATGCTTTAAAGTTATTTTCTTGTTTATTAAGATCGTAGGAATGTTTTAAAAACGTTTAAAAGAAAAGTCCAGAAAGTTCAGAAATACCGAAACTATAAACACGAAATGACAGGTTAAATCGTAATTATAATAGTCAATCAGCTGCTCATAGTATCATTATCTTTAAGTGTTGCCAAACCTATTTCCAAGCGTACACGGATTACGTGCATAATAGAACCACGCTGTTTTGTGTTGTTTCGTTGGAATCCTGATGTGCGCCAAAGTATAAGCCGTACGACAAAGTATAAATATGCAGCAATTAGCAGCTTTCTGTACTATAAACTATAAACAGTACAAGGAAGCCAACTTTATCGGGTGACAGTAGGAAAAAGCATATTGCATTAGAGACGGTATATTGAGCTTTTAAGTCAAATCGCGTTTTTATAGATTGGCAAAAAAACAAACAATTATTTACGTAACATCTTGCCAAAGTTTTACCTTTGACTATTAATACAACAACTTCTGTATCCAATAGTCAATGGTTTTACTTTAAGAATCTCATTGCTTATTAATTCTTACGGACTTGGTCAACAGTTGTTCGCAAAACATATCTTTCGGCTGGGTTAATCATGAATTATTGTTGCAGAAGTTGCAGGCCATGTGGTTTTCTCAGGATGTTCTTAAATGGCTGAAATCTTTTATTTAGATATGCAGCAATGTGCGGAGGTTGGTGACACTAGATCAGACTGGGTGACTGTTAAATGCGGTGTTTCTCAAGGATCTATCCTTGGACCTCTGATTTTTATACTGCACGTCAATGATATTAGCTAGACCTTGGTCAACTGTAAACACCACATGTACTCTGGTGACTTAAGTACTGTACATGACATTTTACTGTAAAAAAAAATACTGTAACGAACAATGTAAAAAACTGACCGTAAAAGCCAGTAACGAATAGTTACATGCACTGAGAAGCCATGGACTGACACTTAATCACGAGAAAAAATAGCCTATTGTATCTTGCCATCTAAAACTTCGTACCTAAATTATCATTTCATTCATCCTTTTACTTTCCTTTATACTAACTCTTGTCGTGTAACCATTTCAGGAACATGATGCGCCTAGGCTCTCGGGCAGAACCTCAGGAGGCGTTGGCTACCATGACTGAGGGACGGTATATATCATACTCTGCAAAACCCTTTCTAGAGTACTTCCGTCCTCTGTCACTCTGGCTGGACAGCAAACTGACTAACGCTTCTCCTATCTGAGCCACGTTCACCGAGACACATACTGGTTACCGCGGGAAAACTAAATATATATGAGCTTGATCTATTTTCATTAAACCTGAATTTTCTCATGAGTGCCATAACATGGAGTGGTTTACTTACATGAGTTAATTTAATTGCCATTATTAAATCGATATTTATTTGTAGTAAAATTGGTTGAAAAATACTACATTATATTTATATATTTTAGTTTATTTCAATCTATTGTTTCAAAGTTGTTTTTTAATACATAAAATACTATCAGTTATAAAGGAGTTTTATTTCCACAAGTCTTAAAAGAATAATTAATCTGACCGAATCTGAAGCGATTAATTGGCTGCATTTCTACATTCCCGAAACCCAGACATTTACTGAAAACCACATGCCTCATGGACATCGGTATCGCAATAATATAATTTTCATATTATATTCAACTAAAAGCATAATACAGTAGTGATTTTACTATTTATATCTTCTCGTAATAATCGTCATGTCCACGCAAATAATGAGCAAAAAAGCAAGCCAATTAAATTTCACTAATTATTATCTTGATCAGCATTACCTATAGGGGAAAGTGGAGCAAGATGAGGTACTTAAGCATTTAATAATTTTTTGAAAGCTTCCTAATTTATTAACAAAAATAATTGATATTGCAACTTAAACTTCAGTCTTTATAGAGTATATATAAATATTTTTGCTCGTCTAGCTTAAAAACTTATACATAAAAACCCTTTTTTCTGTATAGTTTACCAAGTACCACATCTTGCCCTTCAGTGAGGGCAAGATGGGGTGAACTCATGGGGCAAGATGGGGTACCATTATAAAGTAAGGCAAATAAACAAATAAACACTAAACAAACTTAAAAACATTTATTAGCGAATTTCCCATATAGGGAATAAGCTATTACCGTAGTACTCATGGTAAGACCTGGGCGCGGGACCGATTTTTTTTTTCGTTTTGAGGTCCCTAGAGACCAAAAACACCATCCGTTCAAATTCATATATATATATATATATATATTTATATATTTATATATATATATATATATATATGTGTGTGTGTGTGTGTGTGTGTGTGTCCGTTAGCACGATAACTCGAGCAAAAATGATCCGATTTTGATGAAATTCGGTACAAACGTGTAAACCTACGTTTATTCGAACGAGTTCGCGATCCAGCATGATCACGGCTGGGCATGTCATCAGCATGGGAACGGGGGTTTACGGGGGGTTTTATGGGGTAAAAATAGGTTTTTCCCATTTTTGACCCAAAAAACATAAAATTTAGCAATTTCTTTCCAAACCATTTTGTAGAGCTTAAAAAAACAAATAATTTAGTATATTGAAGCGTTATTATGCGCCTAATGGTTACGGAGAAAATTCCAAAAAATTGTAAATTTAAAATTCCCATGTTATTTTTATGGAGAATAAGTAAACTGTTGTAGTTTGCTTGTTTATGAACATATTTTGATCAAATTTGAAAAATGTTTTTATTTCTTACTAACTATTAACATAAAAAAAACAGTTTTACCTCCCTGATGCAGCAAACCTAAGTACTTGTTAAACTAATTCTATTTAAACCGGGAATAAATGTTATATTTTTAAGTAGACATTTCAGTGTAAATCAAATGGAAATTCGCTTAGTCTGCAGGTTTGCTGCGGCGGGGGTATTTTAATATAAAAAGTATTATGTTGTCAATAGTGTATTACGTTTTAACCGAAAACATAAAAAGTTACTCCTATAAACAATAACAAATTACTCAAATTTATATTATTGACACTTAACTATGTAATAAAAAGTACTGCAGTTACCGGTACCAAAAACATTAATATCATTACTAACTAAAAGATACTTCTCCGTAAACTAGAAACGTCTGCAGTTAAAAATTAAAAAATAACTTTAATAACTAAAATTACTGTTCTCCTTCAAATAAACATTCCCCGTCTTGCCCCCTAGTAAGTACCTCGTCTTGCCACCATGGACAATTTTTAGATTAGGTTAGTATAATGTATAAACAATATAATCAATTAAGCTGTATGTTGTAATAATAACTTAAGAAAACCCTCTCATTTGATAATAATAATAAGTTGTATGAGAAAAAGCATGTCTCTGAGATTTTCTTGCGTGAAAACAAGCAAAAATTACATCACGGTTGGTGAAAAACACACTACTGTATGGCCCATACGCATCATGTGGTTTTCTTGAACTGTTGCTGCATTATCAGACAAAGGCATAGCAATAATCTACGCACTACTTCAACTATTTACCTTAGTGCTGAGACACCCACTAAGGTAGAAATCACAAAAACCCCGTCTTGCCCCCACCTTCCCCTGCGTGTTTATTAAATTGACTGAAGGTAAATAAAAATGCATCTAATAACACTCAAAACATATATTTAAGTTTATCATATATTTACCTATACTCATATATTCCCTATATGGAAAATTCGCTAATAACATATTATCGATTTCGATTGGACACTCCAATAATCGAATCATCAGACCCAATAGGCGAATGGCCCAAATTTCCTAAAGGTAAACGTGTCGTTCAGGTTCTAAGTTATTTTGAAGAGCTTAATAGACAAATAATTTATATTGAAGGTTTTTATAGGGATTTTGATAGGTTTTTGTACACCTAATGACCTAATGGTTACGGATAAAATGAAAAAAAAACTATAAATTAAAAATTCATATGTAATTTGCTTTGGGGCTGCTTTAATTTACTTATTAAATGAAAACACTATGTGTTTATAATGATTTATCACTACCCAAATTGGTTGAATGTGTTTACAAAATTTTTTATTGGTAGTGCTTGTAATTTGGACTAATAAAATTTGCTTCAGGTTTGTACCTTTACTTACTGCTAAGTTAAGCCTAGATTAAACATAACTTACTTATAGAAAGACAAATGATTAAGCTGAAGGATTTCTTAACAATACAAATTTAATGAACTAAGAATGAGATATTACAATGATGAATGGGGTTTGATATTTAAATGAACAGATAAGTTAAGTTACAGGGTCACCATCTTTGGTTTAGCCTAGCTCAGTAAAAACAGAACAATGAGTTTACAATAAGATATAAGTTTATTACATAAATCTTCTCATTGAGGGGAACTCGGCTGGCTAAAAAGATCTTCAAATATTTTAATTTATAAAATAAAATATGTCAATTATTATGAAAAATGGGATAATTAATTGATATTGCCCTTAGGCTTGGATAGGTAAGTTAAATAGTCCGACAATGAATAGGCCTAGAATGTGAAAAATTTATCAAAGTTGAATTTAGTTCTCTTGTTCAAATTGTTTTTCTAGCATTTTTCTTGATGAAAATAAAGTAGTTTTTGAATTCAAATAATTAGGTTCGATCAGAAAGTAAATAAAATAGGTCTGTATTAAGTTGAATTTCTTGAAGTTAGGATAAGCCTAATACAAAATGGAGAGTTCTCACCAGATCTTCAGTAATAATGTCCAATTTATATCAATCTTGAGGTGGCAGTACAAAATAGAAAAATAATATATATATATATATATATAGCTAAACTGTTCTTCTGTTGTTAAGTTAGTGTTAAGTTAAATAATTTTAATCACTTTGACTTTTTAAATGTTAGGGATTTATACCCTCACTGAATTTAAGGTGTTGATGCTGCCATGTCCCAATAGAGAAGAAGGAAAATTTTTATTTCACACAGGAACAGGATGATCAAGGTTCATTGTTAAAGCCAGCTGTCTTCTTTCTTCATCACTTGCACACGCACTCACTTCACTTGTAATCAGGCTTTTGGATATTAATTCAATGTTGGGGTTTTAGAAATAATTTATACTATATTAATAATTTTTGGATAAAAGTGTTATTGCAACTATGGACTTAATTACAGGTTGTACATTTTTTTATTAACAATAATATTTGTTGAATATATAAAATATATTTTAAAATGTGGTGATGGTTTCTGAGGGGTGATTAAAGAATAATATAATTCAAATTTACTATACTTTTTCTGACAATTTATTTAAATAGGCTATATGGCGAATTTTGGTACAGTAAAAGAAGTATAATTATATAACTAAAGAATGAATGTAGTGAATGGTCTAAAAATGACATGTAACATTGCATTATTTGTGGATATATTTAATCTAATTTGATAAATTTAATTATTTGTTACTGTTAAGATATTAATAACATTTCCTCCATTTCTTTAAAACACACGTTAATACCTTCTCTGTAGCAGCAAACGTATAAGTTTGCATTAACCTTAATGTTTAGAAAATAAATAAATTTGACGATTTTAAAGGGAATATTTTATTAGAAATCCAACCATTTAAATGGAAATTCACTTAGTCTGCAGGTTTTGCATCAGTGCGTGGTGGTTGTGCCGTATTTTGGAATTTTCTCCGTAACCTTTAACCGTACAACAACGCATGCACTATATACAAGTTAGTTATTTGTTTAACCAGTATGTGAAGTGGCACTTTGCACTCGCGTTACAAATTATTTGTTTCCTACAGTTACTAAAGCATAAATAATTATCCTTTCAAACACTATACAACACGTTTTAAGGTTATGACCATGACCATTTAATATTATAATAAAAAATTAGGCCTATAAAATTTAATTTGAGGCATTTATTATTTTATTTTATGAACAGAACTATTTTTTCGATTAGTAAACCTTTATTCGATTTTTAATTATCAGCAAGTTTGGTATGTTATAACAGTTTAATTTTATAATTAAAAAACTATAAGATCAATTTTATAATTGTTCTTAATTTTATAATTAAGTATGACGTCATGGATCAGAAGCCAATCAGAAGCCTCTAAATGACACTGTTGGCAAAACTAATAGTGAAATAAAAATTACGCACTGTGCTCTCTACTACAGTTATGATCACGGAGGAATTTTGAACTAAACTATTATGTCATCGTTGCCTCATTTATACCTCCCGTAAGTCAGACCCCTCGTCTTACAGTTATTTCAGTCCCATGCCGATGCCGCTATGATTATGTTTTTTCATACAGTTACCTAACAATGTACATGTTCTCTCACTGATTTGAGAAAGCAAAGTGGCCAATTCACTCTTCAGTGAGACAATGTTAATTACTGCTCGCCCCTTGTTAGTAAAAAAGCTCGTAAGGAAACAAATGTAAAAGGAAAAAACATAAACTAAACTGGTTTAGTCCTCAATTAAAACAGACTAGAGACTTGATGTTAGCACACTATAGTAAGTATAAAAGTCTCTTATACTTGGATTCTGTAAAGGCTCAGACAGCTTACAGCACTTATCTTAGAATAAAAAAGTACTACAGGAAAGAATTAACTACTGCTAAGAAAAATGCTTATGAGAATTTCATTCAGACTTCAAATAATAAGTGCAAAGCTGCCTGGGACATTAATACAATAGACCAAGATACACTCAACAGTTATTTTACAGATTCAGTTGAAGAACTTACCAACCTGGTAAGCCAAACATTCACAACAGCTGAGGACTTGCTTGGGCCTGAACCAAGTGAGAGGGTCTGACTTAGGGGAGGTACAAATGAGGCATTTAGTTCAAAATTCCTCCGTGAACAGCGCTGTAGTAGAGAGCACTTTGGCAATGAAGGTTTACCAGTCGCAAAAATAGTTCTGTTCATAAAATAAAATTATAAATGCCTCAAATTCAATTTTACTATATTTTAATTATAAAATTAAACTATCATAACCTAACCGAACTAACCAAACTTGCTGATAAAGAAATAATATAACAAAAGTTTAGTTGGAAAAATAATTCTTTTTATTAAATAAAACTAGAAATTGTTTAATTATTAAAATTTTATAATGACTTAATAATAAAATTAAACTGTAATAACCAAACCAAACCAACCAAACTTGCTGATAATAAAAAAATCTTGGACAAAAAGTTAATGCTACCAGCAGGATTCGAACCCGGGACCTATAGTATGTCAGCCCGGCACGCTAACCAATAGACCACCGAGGCCGATGGCTGTTTAACGTTTTGTTACGGTAATGGCGTTCCCTCAGCTAATAAGAAGCTCTCAGCTGTCATCGTAGCCTCTTCTATACCTCCCCTGAGTAAATACCCAAGTGAGAACATACATTCCAATTGGTCTTACATTACACCAGATGAGGTAACCAACACTGTCTATAAACTCTCAAACTCAAAATCTATGGATAGTTATTGGCTCTCAAATTATATTATTAAGAATACCATCCACTTAATTGAAACTCCTTTGGCTCTGGTCATCAACGAGTGCCTACGTGCTGGCATTTTTCCACAAAAACTAAAAATTGCTAAAATAATTCCGGTTTTTAAGAATGGAGATAAATCACTTTGTCAAAATTATCGCACTATCTCCATATTGTTCCAACATTTTCTAAAATATTTGAAGCAATTATTTTAAAGCAGTTAAATAATTATTTTGACTCAAATCACCTGTTAACTTATTCACAGTATGGCTTCAGACCAGGTAGATCCACTACATTGGCGGTGTCAGAAATTACACAGTCCATTTTGAGTGCGTTTGAAAATAGAGAATCAGTGTCAATGCTCCTTTATGACCTCACCAAAGCTTTTGATTGTATCCCTTTTGATATCTTGATTAAGAAGAGCTTCAATTTTATGGAATTAGGGGCAACTCATTACAATTACTCAAATAATATCTAACCAACAGATCACAGTTTGTATGTGTTAAAGGTAAAAATTCACCAGTTACACAAATCAAGGCCGGTGTTCCGCAGGGTTCTGTCCTTGGCCCTTTTCTTTTTATTGTGGCCATAAAGGATCTTCCTCGTAATTTACCTGTAAATGTACAATCTATGCTGATGACACAACAATCTTTGCTGCCAATAGAGATCTAAACCTTCTTGCCCGCACAATTCAGGATGCGACCAACCATGCTTTGAACTGGTTTTCCTTTAATCAACTTATTTGTAATGAAAATAAAACTCAAAGCATAATATTTTCTCTTTTACAAAACCTACCTGAAAATTCAGTAAAACTTCTGGGAATTTACCTTGATACCAGAGATTGAACTGGAAAACTCATATTAACAATCTTTGTAAGAAGTTGTCAAGAGTCATTTATCTTTTTTGGAAACTTAAACCTCTTATCATCATAGAGTACCTGAGATCAGCATATTTTGGCTTATTTCAATCTTACTTGCAATACGGTCTTATTTTATGGGGTCACTGATCATCACATATTTATGATGTTCTTTTACTACAAAAGGAAATCATCCGCACTATTGCCGGGGTGGGCCCTGTGCAGCACTGCAAACCACTCTTTGTAAAATATTGCATTTGCACAGTCATCAACCTTTAAATTTACAATGTCTTGATGTACACAAAATGTAATCTACATAAATTTTACACTCGACAGGACATCCACTCACATAACACAAGAGGCAAAGGAGCACTGGACATTCCTCAGCACCGGCTTGCACTTACAGGTAACTCTTTTAAAATTAATTGTACTGTATTAAGTTATATAATTAGCTGCCTGAGCCTATCTTTGAAGCAACCATTCCTATCTAAGTCTAAAGTTTACTCGTGGCTGTTAGAAAATCCATTTTACACACTTCAGGAATTCTTAGATTCGACTGTTCTAATCTAGCCTTTAGATTAAGCCTATTTTACTCTGTGACTTTGTATTATCGATCAATGTAAATATTTAGCCTAATTTGACAATGCCTATATCAATGTATTTGATCAACGGCAATAAAGATTCAGATTCTGATTCTGATTACTTTGTCTCACTCCAGATTTGCAACGTGAAGACACGTTTCGTTACCAATTTATTTGTTTTATGGTAACTGTAGGGAAAATATAATAATGTGCAACTCGAATGCAAAGTGCAAATCGCCTCACTAGAGAAACCATTCCTCACTCGCCCACGGCTCGTGAGTAAAGGATTTCTCTCGAGTGAGGCAATTGCTCACTTTGCTCACTAGTTGCACAAATAACTATTTTTTACAAATTTCAGTTACTTTATTATTTAAATCTTCGGTTAACCTAAAAAAATTAAATCATAAACAATAGCTCGTCCCTTAGTATAATAGTTCCTTATTTAGTATAATGTAACCATAGACAAAACATACAACTCGTATGTTTTATCTATGATATAACCTATGGTAGGGAAGATGTAATGCTGTATAATCAATTGTAATAGCAACTGTAGGGGTAGCAGACTTTAATTCCGCTGGAATTTTACCCCCTGAGCTGAACTGACGTCACCATCTAGGGGGTAAAATTACGGCCGTGAACTATTGAGTTGCACGCACACCATCAGTTCAACAAATTAAAGGTGGGATTAAACGTATATTTTCACGGTTGAGAACTTAATCAGAACCACCGGAATTTTACCCCCTAACCAGATGAATTAAGAAAATTAATTATACCCACTAATTTATATATCTGCACAGGGGTTAAACTCGCGGGGGCAAAATTTCGGGGATAAAATTACTGGCCTTACAGCTACAGTTGCCTAAACGCTAGTTATATGGACAAGGGGTAAAATTCAGGTTTTTATTGCTAATCTAATTTATCATGCTCTGTCTATTTTCATTAGACTCGCAAATCCACGGGGTGAGATTCCGCCCACGAACCAGCTTGAGAGCGCTCAGGTTACTACTTCATAGTATGTGAGCTTTGCCCAGGTGGTAAAATTCCAGGGGAATAAAATTCCGGCGAATCCGACTGTACCTGAAGGCCTAAGGCACGGCCACCTTTAACTCCAGGCCGCGGCCTTCGAAGTGGCAACGTCGCAAGTAGGGTTGTAACACCTGTTTTGTTTGGAAGCATAGCTAATAGTATTTTTGTATTTACGAAAGCTTGTTACTGGAATATGAAAATATTGACTTCACTTCAAATGTACGGATATAGATTTTCAATACATATTGTTTTGGTTTTTAATTCTGTATGTTTTATTTTCAATATTTTAATAAATTTATGTTCATAAATTTAAGTCACTAAAGTGCAAAATAATGAGCTGATTTCACCTGCCTGCCACGTTATCTTATGGGACGTCTGACACTATACAACCCTACCTGCGACGTTGCCAATTCTACCAGGCCGTGGCAAAGGTGGCCTTGCCTAAGGGCGTATGTTTAATCATTGACTAAGGAAACAAAAGTTTTGTTTCCCTTGTCTGTGGTTTAATCTTTGCCCATGATTGTCATGCAACGGTCTGTACTATAACCCGGATCTACACTTAAGTTGTTACGCGTTTTCTTTCTGCTTTGTTTACCAACAAGTAACATTACAAGACAAGAACAAGTTCAGTTCAGTTAAATAAAAAACTAAAAAAACTAAACTGAAGTTATAAAATAAAATTACAAAGCAAAGTCAATCAATTCAGTTAGTTTAGTTTTAGTTATTATTACTGGAGATTGTGAAACTTCACTTCTCTTATCAACTTCATCTTTAAAAGAAGAATATGTTCGTAAAATTTTAGAAGTACCTATAAGTAAGATTTTTCTCTGCAGATTTTATTTTAATTATTGATTCAATAATTAGTTTCTCTATTATACTAATAAGACTTGAGCAAACTATTTAGGAAGTGCGTTTTAGGTGAGTTCTGGAAACTGAAAGTTTACCATCAAACGTGTTGGTGTCTAAATCAAGCCTTGTCTATTTTGTTGTACTTCATTTAATAGTTAGTTGGGTAAGGATTTTGCACTGAGCCTTTTGTACAACCAATTGGCATAATAATACAAAGACATTCACAGATTTTAACCATAGATAAAACATACGTTGGTTAGTCTATGTTTTAACTCACCACTGGTACCATTAAAATTGTTAAACTATTAGTCTTACTGTTGGCCTAAGTTAGGCCTAATAACTTAGTTTCTTAGTCCCATTTAGAAACAGCAAGAAAGTAAGCTACCCTGAGCGTAGAAAAAAAGAAAGTCTTTCCTGAGCATAGGCAAGGTCACCTTTTAAAGATCTTCAGAATAATTATTAGAGATTTGTGTGCATTGCAGCATTAATAAATTCCCCAATTTCTTTGAGCCCTGTGAGGATCTAAACAACCATAGATTTTCCACAGATAAGATAGAAAGTAGGTTAGGTTAAGTTATTATAGCTAGGTAAGCCTACGGTTTTCGGTAATACTGAAATTATGTTATATTGAATTTTTTTTTGCCTTTTCTGCCAAAATTAGGCTATTTTAAGCACTTTACCCTTGAAACTTTTGGGGGAAACGCATATTTCACCCCGAAAATTGCATTTGAAAATTTAGAAAAACGCTAAAAATAATGATAGGCCTACTTAACTTATTTGGGGCTTGAAAAACATTTTGTACATTAAGTAGAGGCTATGGTAGGTAACTTATTTTTCTCTTTATCAAGGCCATTTCAAACACTTTTTTCCTCTTGCACTTTTTTGGCAAACACATAAGTTAACTTATTTCACCCCGAACAAAATTGAAAGTTTAGAAAGCGTTATAAATGACCAAATATTAGCACAATTGAGCGGTAATTAAATGTGTCAATAACTTAATACTAACCTAACCTTGGTTTACCCAAAATCAGCCATTTTCAGCACTTTGCTACATTAATCTAAGCATGGGTTAGGTTGGGTTAGGGTAAGTACCTAACTTAAGTTAGGTAACTTAGGTTGGATTATATTTGATATTTGGTTTATCCAAAATGGGTCATTTTTGGCACTTTGCATTTTTTAGGCCTACAACTTTTTACACCTGGTTTTCTGGGTAAAAACCGAATTTGCCAAAAAGTGTCAAAAGGAAAAAAGTGTTTGAAATGGCTTTAAAAAAAAACACAATCAGTAAAAAAAAGAAAATTTTCTAGTTCCAAAATACCTTGATTTCTAGCGCTTTTTGCGATGTACAAACACAATTTTTAGGGTGAAATATTTAGTCGCTTCCCCCAAAAGTGCTAAAGAGTATAAGTGCTTAAAATAGCCCAATTTTGGTAGATAAGGTAAAAAAATGCAATATAACATAGGTAAGTATTAGTTTAGCATTATACCCGGTTTTCTTCATTCACTCTTTGATTCACAAAACAGTTGCTTTGAATTTTTGGCAAGTATGAGATGTAGCCTAGATAGCCTAATTATTTTTTTAAATACCGGTATTGATTTTAATGGTTTTCTTTAGGTATTGTGCTGCTATGGGTGATTTAGGAGGTTGGCCTCTGCTTTGGTGGCTTTTTGGTTCTATGTGTATACCATTTACGATACCCTGGCTGATATTCAAACTTTACCGTCATCATAGGTTGAAAGCTCAACTGCGTGGTAAGGTAAGCTTTATCAAACAAATGGTTTTGAATAGCTGGTCAAAGAAATAAAATAGGCTAATGAAGTAGGCTTACAAACATATATCGTAGGTTAACCTGCTTTCTCTTTAAGTTGAAATTAGGATCTTATTGACTACCAGTACCCTACACTTATTTTCATTTTTTATCAAAGTACCTAACGTAATGTTCTTATGATTGACACTGTGATTTGATCAAATTAAATTATCACGACAAAGATTTTTAGGTATTTTCCATAACCTGCAAAAATATATACTTGTCTTAAGATAATTCCTAATTAAGTTAGTTGAATATGACACTCTGTGAGTAGCCCCAGATCTTGAAAGGAAAGAAAGAGTATTTTAATTGTGTTATATCATAATTAGGTTACAAATGGAATTAGTAGAACGGAATCCCTTCTCTGAGGTGCTTTAAAGAACTTACCTATGTGAATACCTATGTGAATTTTGTTAAAATATTCTTGCTGGGTCAAAAAGTTATTAAATTGAATGTTATAGAAGCCTGTTGTGTGTGCAATTAACTGCATTAAAATTCACCCTTGAATCTGATGAAATTCAGGTTTAAGAGAGCAAAATTAAATAAACACAATCAAAATCACGATGACTCTATTTATGAAAATGACTTTATAGTGTCGCTTTTTGATTCGTACAAAACATGTAGGCTATCCACAGATAATTTGTGATGAACTGATACCTGATTGTATTGTAGTTGTTATTTCTGACCAACAGTAGGAACAATGCTTTCCATGTTTTAAATGGAGGCAGCTACACTTGTCCGCTCCGCTCCGCTCAGGGAGCATTCATCCGCATTTTGGCGGAAGCATTCGGGGCGGACCGGACCCAATCCGACAAGTGAAGTCACCTCCTCCGAAATTCGGATGAGAATCGGGGGGTTCCGTGAGCGCTCGGCTATGAAAGTGATGAATTAAATTAGGAAAAATAGTTATTTCTAGGACATAGGCCTAAGAATTAAGGCAATAATGTTCATATATTGCCGCGATCATGGCAGACGATAATTATGTCTACACGACCGCAGAAAATAGTCAGAATTTTACCGCAATATCGGGAGACGATTACGATGTCTACACGGCCGCGAGGGATTATCAGAAGATTACCGCGATCGCATGCAAATACAACTACCATTTTTTCATTATTTTTAATTTTTTTGGCGCCCCCAAAAAAAGCCAATTGCCCTGCGCCTTATGCACGTGCCTACCGTGCCTATTCGGTAAATCGGCCTTGAAGGCTAAACACCTTCCGTATTGCTGTACTTGTGCCCCGTGCTCGTGTGTGTCCTCCCAAATATCGTACAAGTGTAGCTACCTCTTCCGGCCAGACCGAAACGATTCGTACAAGTGTAGCCACCCCTCACAAATTCGGGCCGGACCGAACCAAAATGGACCGGACCGAGTCGGGCAAGTGTAGTCGCTGCATGTAAAATCCAAGATAATAGACAAAATGTTTAGTTGTTTTCTCTTAAAAGAAATGTAAAAATATTCAAAATGTGATAAATTTTGGTAGTTATGACAAAAAACAAAAGAAAAACTGTGAATTCAACCACTGGAAACGGGTTTGTAGCAAGTTGAAAACCGTTTCTGGTAAGTCCTTTTAAATCTACGAGCATTAACATCGGCGCCTGGAAGTGTTGCTTGGATTCCTTACTTAAAGAAGAAAGGAGTCATAATAAGAGAGGACCTTGAACAACTTCGGGTTTACCTCACCAATATTGAGAACGGCGCACAGCTTCAACAGAATAGAGTGCAACTGGTTCTAAAAAAATGAGTTATTAAATAAAATAAGACTTTCATTTGATATTCATGTTGAAATTTTTGTAATCATGAAATAGATTGTGATCTTTTAGCAAGAAGTTTTATTTAAACTTAGTGATTTATTAATACACCCTCCAAGAAAAAACTCGAGTGCTATCCATAAGAACCATCTTTTTGCAGGTGGTATTGATCACTGGAGCTAGTTCTGGTCTAGGTGAGGCCTTGGCCCATGTGTTCTATCAAGCTGGATGTCGTGTCATTCTAGCTGCACGCAGAGAAGCACAACTGGAACGAGTGAAAAAAGAATTGCTCTCCTCTCGACTTGATAAGGTTTTTATGTTAACTAGTATGATATCAGTTAATAAATCTTGCTTTTAAATGAGAATACATGGGCTAAAAATATCAGTTGAATGTGATATGAAAAAAGGTAGTATAATTTTTAAACTATAACTGGTTGAAAAACATTTTTAGTGCGATGTATTTGAGGAACGTATTAAGCATCCTGATTTTTGTAGGTTTGCAAAATACAAATACAAATACAAAAGCTATTTTCCACATTTAAATTTTTTTTTCTTTGACTAACATTGATTGTTGTTAGTTCTGTGTATAACTTTGCAACATACAGGGAGCGGCAAAATGATCTGACGGTTTTCTTTGCCGCCCTGTTGAGTGAGTGAGTGGCGGAGCCTGGTGGGAATAGAGGCGTTACAAAGCCTACGTGCGGACATATTTAGTAGCCATGGTGCTGTGGGCAGCTGAGCACCATGCATTTTAGGGGAAGTGTTTTTTAAAAGTGGCAATTCATGTAGGTAGCTGTTCAGCGGCAGTTCTATAGACGTTTCAACGTTTCAATGTGGGTCCAAGGGGAAAAGTCCTAACTCGAAACACCATTTTGCGGTGGGTAGGTAACTTCAGAGCTACTAGTTAAGCGTTGAAAAAAAGTCAACAGGCCGTTCAAGGTCAGCCTGGACGCCAGAGAATACCGAGAGAGTGAGAGAAGCTGTGGAAGCCAGTCCTCAGCGGCCTAAACGTAAATAAGCTGCAGCTCTGCACTTGTCTGACCGCTCGGTAGAAGAGTATTACAATACGATCTGCATTTTCATTCATACAAAATGGCAATCGTGCACCAGTTGAAGCCCAGTGTTTATGCGAAGCGTATATCTTTTACAGAACAAGTAGTAATTGATTTTCTTACACGTGACAAAATTGTCATTATGAGCGACGAATCGCACTTTCAACCACAACACACAGTCTTCCTCACACTTCAATGCTGAACTAGTAGATCTAAAGCTACCCACCCACAGCAAAATGGTGTTTCGAGTTGGGACTTTTCTTCTTTTACCCACATTGAAACATGTACTGAACAGCTACACAGGAATTGCCACTCTTAAAAACACTTCCACTACAAATACATGGTCCTCAGCTGTCCCGCGGCTCCATGGCTACTAAAAATGTCCACACGTTGGCTTTGTAACGCCCCTATTCCCACCACCCTCCGCCACTCACTCCCTCGACAGGGCGGCAAAGATAACCGTCAGATCATTTTGCCGCTCCCTGTATTTTAACTTTCTCCTTTTGTACATGTTATATTGAGAAAATATTGTTCTCTTGAACATTTTCTAGTTTGAGTGTTGGGTGGATATATTGATAAAAAAAAGTGATTTTCAAAGTGTTGTCTGTATGTGTGTGTGTATGTCTGTTTCATATTCTAAAATTGAAATCTTTTACAGTAGTTATAGTATTTTCTTAGTGTTCAGCTCCACTTATTACATTGTACTAATTAGCCTTATAAGTTTTTACCACTTAGGGGTAACTGAATTATAAAAGAGACTAAAAAAAGGAAAATATACAATTGAGTTTTGTTTGTTAAATCAACGACAGATGTGTAAGTGTAACTAATCCATACGCTTAAAGAACTACATTTTACACTTCCACGTCCTTTTCTCATTGAAAATGTGTATTTAAAATAGCGTAAAATAGTTTGCAATAATCAACTGCTTTTCACTTTGGATGTTAGTAAAAAATCTAAATTAATGGAATAGTTAAAGTAATAAGTTACTTGTGCACAAAAACAATAAGAAGGCTCTAGTTTCTTACCCTGACAAACCCGTCATCGGCCGCTGTCGAGATTTAACGTCATTACGGCCGGTGTCAAACTATATGGAGTGGCAAAAACAATTGAGTGTCGAACTATCAAGTCTTGAACTATCAAGTGTCAAACTATCAAGGTTGTACTTTTTAAATTTTCACATATTATGTGTTTTACTGTAAGACAGTAATATGGTTGTTTTGTGCATATGTAAACACCAGTTTTATTAGGGGAATAAAACTACTAATAATAAATTAAATTTGTTGATTTTAGATGTACACCAAAGAGTGATTTACCTATTTCAATTACGCTACAATGACCAAAAAAAGTATTAAAATTAAAATTCATGTTCATAAACGGTTTTGCCTCTTGTTTACATTCTGGCCTTGGTTAAACATTCAACGGATGGTAAGTTGTACAATTACAATTCATAACCCTTATTTTATAAAGAATGTTGGGCAGCATTACTGAATCTTTGAAAGTAAACTCTAGAAATAAACCACAAGCAAAGATAGGCAAAGCCCTAAAGGAAATTGCCTTTTTTGTTACCATAAATCTCTCCACTAGGTCATAAGCTATAAAATGACACCTCAATAAAAAAAATCGGTTAGGTAGGACGGCTGGAAAAGGGACGTTGCAGAGAAAACGCTTTATTGTATGAAGTATGTCCCATAGGTTTGATATGGCAACAACAACAAACCTACATGCTAAATAACAACTGACAAAAATATAATTACTAACAAATGAATTCATTTGCATCAAATTTGGTTTGACAACATTAAAAACCCGTTTTAACTTGTTGTTTTAGGACATTGTCACTCATCCACCAGTTGTTATGGTGTTGGATTTGATAAAAATAGACGAGATTCCTTCTTGTCTAGAGAAGGTCTTGAAGATTGTTGGCCATGTTGATATTTTAATCAACAACGCTGGTATTTCATACAGAGGAGAAGTTTTGACAACCAATATAAAAGTGGATACCGAAATGATGATGATAAACTACATTGCTCAAGTGGCACTAATAAAAGGTAACCAGAGAGTTGATTTAATTTTAAATATAAACTGTACCTTTTAACAGTTACCGTCTAATTTTGTTTTCTTACTGAACAAACCCTCATGAATAGATTTGCTAAATTTTATTCACAGTTTTTATTTTTTTAATCCTATCCGAGCAGAGGCTATAAATATATATATGTCCGTAAACACGATAACTTTTGTAATTTTTGTCCGATTTTGATAACATTTGGTTTGAAGGTGTAAAGCAGGATGGGGGGGGGGGGTTATGGGGTAATAATGGGTTTTTCTAATTTTGTAAAACAAAAAATGTTTAAATTTTCTTCAGAACTTTTTAAAGAGCTTAAAAAACAAATAATATAGTATATCAAAGTGTTTTTGTTACGGCTATTGGTTACGGAGAAAATTAAAAAAGTTGTTCATTTAAAATTCCCATGTTATTCTTATGGAGAATATTGTAAAATGTTGTAGTTGGCTTGTTTACGGATATATTTTGATCAAACTTGGCAGTTTTTTTTATTTTATACTAAGCTATTGATATTTTAATATAAAAAATACACTTTATTAGTTTTACTGTAGGAGCAAACCTAGGTACAGTAGAGTCCTGCAAACTCAGCACTCGATAACCCGGCAGTCTGGATAACTCGGCCATCACCTGGCTCAGATAATTAGTGATTTTTTGAGTCTAATCATGGACTCAAGCCAGCTTAAGTCAAACTATTCTCAACTCGTTCTAAGAATTGGTTGTACTATATCTGATGACTTAATACTGACTTTTAATATACATATAAATAAATAAGGCAGTTTGAGAGCTTAAAAATTGTATTGTTCTTATTTTTAACCCTAGTTCCCGATAAGCCAGCATTTCACAAACTCTGCACCCTTCCAGTCCACATTACGCCGAGTTTGCGGGACTCTACTGTACTTGTTAAACAACATAAATGTTAATTTAATAGATTAATTTAAAACCTATCCAGGCAAATGGAAATTATCTTAGTCAGCAGGTTTGCTGCAGCGAGGGTATTTTGATTGCATAGTAAACGTTTTCCAGTTAACTGTATTTTTTTGTAACCTTCATCAGGAAACTGTAAAAGTTTCATGTTTAGATTTCGAGATCTGGGATACAATTTTTTAACTTTAGGTTTCGGCTTTAAAGATGAAACATGTTTTTGTTTTGATCATCACTTGTGATTATTCACAGATTGTATTTAACTCCTTCATAATATTAGACATATTTTGTTGCAGCTCTCTTGCCTTCAATGGTACTCAGAAAATCTGGACAAATAGTAGCTATCAGTAGTGTTCAAGGAAGGATTGCTATTCCTTACAGGTAACGTGGATGTTTGATTCTTTAAGAATTCCTTGCTATATAAGGCATATTCAGAAAATTAAAATATGGAATGTTTCTAGTTGACACTGGTAGGTGCAAGCTATCTTGGTGCGCATTATCTAGTATGGAAGTACGCCTTCACATTAACTATCCAGCCAACAAATCGGAAGTGTTATTTTGCTACTCTTTGTCGTAATATTAAATCAAGTTTTAAAGTGCACTGTAATTTAAAATGCCACTAGGTGTGGTCATCACAGAAGATAATGATGTATCCACGACCGTGGGAGATAATCACAACATCACTTTGAGTTTGGCTTGATCGAAAATCTCAGGCTTGGTACACTTCTAGTTAATTTTGTCTTTGATTAAAAAACATCTTTATTTACCTTTAATATGGTATTCATTTCATGTGTTAAGAAGGGATTAGATTTAAATTGGCCAGTTAGAGTTTTGATTAGCTTCATACATTTTTTCTTTAATTGAAAACAAATCCATTACCCTAAAAAACTTTATGGAAGGACATAAAGACAGGGGTTGGTGTAGTATAACCAACAAATTCTGAAAATTTGCTAAAACAAAAAAAATATAGGTATTCAGAATTGATAAATTTAGGTACCAGGCAGGCATCACTAGTAAAAATATTAGTTTTGGCACTTTAACTATTGTGGGCGTAACAGACTCAATGGAATCGGAATTGAGAATTTAGAATAAATTTTAAAGAATCAGGATCAAAAATAAAAATTTTTAGAATCGACCCATCACTGATTAATTTATTTATAGTCCAACCTCAGTATAACGAATTTGAAGGGACCGAACTGAATATTCGTTATATCAAGGATTTCGTTAAAACGAGGTTCGTTATATAGAGGTTAGGTTTGCAGGAATTTCGCTAAGTCGAGGTTCAGAACCAGCGTCGGTCAATATAGGTCGGGATTTGACCTCATTAAAATACAATTAAAGTAGCATAGGCTACAATACTTTACAGTACAGAGTTTACATTGTACAGTAGAACCTAAATTATCCGGCATAACAAAGGGGAGGGATCTTAAATATTGCGCAATCATGACAATGGCATTGACCTTGGTACAGGTTAAAAACTGTAAGTTTAAAATCACAGCTTGTTCTAACCCTCCTAAAACCTAGCCAAACACTGTAGTCATAAACCATGTAAAGAACAAAACAAAACAGTAGAAAGTTTTGTAAGCTACTGCTCGCGATAGGCCGGTAGGCTACTTACAGTACAGTACTGATTTATCACAACAGAGGAATGTCAATAATAATCATTCATTAACTATAGCATTGGTGTTGCTAGTTGAAACAAATCGTATTGAAAACAATAAATTATTAGATAAGTCATTATAAAAGTGTATAATCATAGCCAACTTAAGGATAATAAAAAAACTCGTAAAAGGAATGTTAAAATAACGATGTTGCTATTCTTTCTCTTTGGTTTTGTTTTTATATTCTTTCTTAGATTTCTCTTTATCCAAAAATTGTACAATTCACCATAGTTATCCCATATCGCCCAATCACTGCTTACTAAAAATTACGTCGTCATCAGTCCTCAGTGAATGAAATCAGTTCTCAGTTGCAACATAGCGCGCGCAGCGACAGCAGTCAAAGATGTAAAACGGAGCAGACGAATGTTAGCGCAAGCGATGACGTGACCTTTCCATTTAATTTGATAAAGAAACAGATTTTCCCAAAACAATAATTGGGTGGGGGATTTGTTATATCAAGGGAAAGACGTAGACAATTCGCTATGCAGAGGTTAAATTCGCAATGTAGAGGTTCTGACAATGACAAATTCGTTATATTTAGGTGTCTTATTTTAGCCGAAATCACGAAAAATTCGTTAAATCAAGGTCGTTGTTATGGTTTGTTCGTTATGTAGAGGTAAAATGTACATTGTGTCTTATGGAGAGTTCTAGGGGATTAAAAAAAATTCGTTATATCAAGGAATTCGTTATATCGAGGTTCGTTATATCAAGGTTAGACTGTATTTTCAATTTTGCTCTGTATTAATTGTTGTTGTTGGTTCAGGTCAGCTTATACAGCATCCAAACATGCACTGCAAGCCTTCTGTGACACTCTACGAGCTGAGGTAGCACATCACAATGTGTCTGTCACTGTAGTCAGTCCTGGCTATATCAGCACCAATTTATCCCTCAACGCTCTTACTGGCACAGGAGAGAAATACGGTGGTAAGTGTATCAGATTGTAGTTATCTTGTTGTAGTGAAAATACAAAAAAAGTACCTACCATAAAAGGGATATTCGAGGTCTGTAAATTAATGCCTTCAAAGAGCCCTCATAAAGATATGTTGAAACATGATACCAGCACAGTGTTCTCTGCATCCAGGGTTGCGTGTCTAAATTCAAACATTTTATTACTTTTTTTTAGATATTTTTCTTTGGGCCTATTTTTTTTCTCTCATGGGGCGGGGTATCATTACCCCTTGCTACCTCGACCTACAAGATCTTTTGAAGCACCCTTTTTAATTAGTCACCCAACCAAAGTCTTCTTGCGAAGCCAATCACAATTGGTACACACCCATTTCTCGTATTTCAGTAGGCATCGGGAATGCCTTTCCTAGGTGTTTCAACCTTTTATGGGCTAACGCCGGACATTCCAGCCATATGTGCTCAGCGGATTCCGTGTCGTAGAGGCAGAATCTGCACCGGTCTGTCTGTCTAAGCCCTATTGTCTTGAGGTACTTCCTTACATAGCCATGCCCTGTAAGTATACATATCAAGAGGCTTATTTCCCCTTTTTGGAGGTCGAAGATGTTTCTCCATTCCTTACTATGAGTATTGATGAGCATCTTTGATTGTCTTAGACCTGGGGTATTTTCCCAAACCTTTTCTTGTTGTCCCTTTGTCCAAGAAAACAGATTTTTTTTGGATTTTTGCTTGGCCTTTGCTCACTGGGACTCCGCAGCATGGTTCAGGCCTGACGAGTTCGGATTTTGCTCCCTCACCCGCCAGGACGTCAGCCCAAGGCTCCTGTTCCCTTGGCAATGACATGATCTATGTCTCTTTACAAGTTAACTTCTGATCTAAGTATACACCCAGATATTTAGTCTCCTTGACTGACGCTACTGACTTTAGGCCTATAGAAAGAACTATTAACATTTTTTGTGTTTTGGATTAAGAAAAAATCAATGGTCCAAGATTGGGTTAAAGAAACTGTTCTATTTCTAATCCAAGAATATTAAACACACATCTTTTTTCAACAAACTCTATTTCCCAACTCAACCAATGTTTACAAAAACAGTTTACAAAAATCATCTGTCAACAAAACATATTTAAACACAAATAAATCATATGACTAAAATAACAGACTTAATATAACAGAAACAGTTATGAATGTATCACTATAAGAAACAGGCGACTGGTAGAAGCGAGTTGATCAGAACATTGCACTTATCATTCGTGGCAATTAATGATTGTAGCAAAAAAGGTTTGGGACAAAAAATTTCAAAAATAGTTTTGTTATAATTTTTCTTGTCAAAGTTTTATCTTACCTCAATAATTAATAAAACGTCCTTGCTCACTGACTTTTTTTTGCTCACTAAAACCTCTCCTCATTAATAAACGTGCTAAATTGGAATAACACTTATATATTTACCCTGAACAGTTTCTAAGTTCATGCTAATGGTAAATATATAAGTGTTATCCCAATTTAGCACGTTTATTAATGAGGAGAGGTTTTAGTGACCTCTGGCACATTGCTTGGAATGGCATCAAAGCGACAAATCCATACATTTTAAACCACCAGACCCATTAACAGGTTCATATTAGAGAGCAGTCCACCATTATCTTACATCGATGTATATTCACACACTCAAAGGTGATCAGCCATTGCTCACTAGTAGTGCTTTCCAGATTTCAGTTGCGTACAGCGACAGACGCTCTACCTTAAGCAGTATTCTAGCTGATTCCTACTTTTGCGTCAAAGCAGTCGATTAAAGGACAATTAAAGTAAAAATCGATGTTATCGCTAAGTAGGCTATGGATTGTATTCTGTGAATAGGTTTTTGTCGTGTAATGGATCATCCTTTGCCAGTCCATTGCCAGTTGAGAGACTCTGAGCTACCTTGCTTGCCTGCTCAGTGACTTTGGTTAGTGCATTAAATGAAACTGAAGAGCATTCATGGCCTTTCAGAACATCAAATATATTGTAAAATTATTTAGACCAAACCCTTGTTTTCATCATTTACGCCCAAGAACATTTCTCCACACAAATATATCAATGCATCAATGCAGGAACCTGTTGGAATAGTGCCTAAGGAAGGACAGAACACTGCAATGGTTTCAGACTTGACCTAGCTCGCTACATCTTGATGCTAGCTCGTTTACATCATTTTGATGGCTTTCAGTTGTTGATGAGACTACTGCCAAGGGCTATGAGCCGCTGGATGTAGCCAAGCGTATCCTGGTCGCTACAATGAAGCGTCAGTCTGAACTGATCGTTTCCGACTCAACACCCAAGATAGCCATGTTCCTGCGCACGCTACTGCCTTCTGTTTACTTCTACCTCATGAAGAACCGAGCCTTGAGACTTAGACAACAAGCTCTTCTGAGAGCAAAGTAATTATTATGCCAAATAAATTTCTCACACAACTGATTTTTTTAGACCATTTTGCTTTTACTGTATGTATTTTTTAGCTACTTAGTTCATTTATATTTTTTGAAACTAATAGTGTAATTTCACTAAATGATATATTAGTTCTAAATTACTTTATTAAATTAGTTTTGAATGAGTACCAAAAAGTCTTTCAACTTAATAACAGGAACCTCAACACATTAAGTTTGGGTCTTATGTAAAAAGTTATTTTTGTAACTCATATAAATATTGTAATTCTTCTAAGCTACATCTTGGGTACTCTGGTCTCTGAAGGTGCTTGTAGTTCTCTAGTTCTTTATAATATAGTTGTAGTAACAGTTGTTTGATATTAAATGCATTAAATCTATCTGTTAGAATCTAGGAATAAGTATTTAAATTTTTTAATAAATGTAGTTTGGAGTGTAGTATGGTTTGTGTAGTGAGGGACTAACAATCATTTTTGTATTACTGTATTATAAAATGATGCAACAGAACAAATAGAAGTTTGCATATTTAATTTTTTCCTATAAAAAATATAGTGAATCTGCAGCAGTTGATCAGTTAGTAAAAGTTTCCTCCTCAATGTAGCTCCCTCAATAGCTCCATTGGTGAGTTGTTCATATTTCCTGATGATCAGTTTTTACCCAATTTCACTAAATTTACATCAAATTCCAACTAAAGCATAGTTTAATGATACAAATTATAATCATACTAGACGCTACACCCATCCTTTGACCTAGGATTAGAATGCAGAAAAGAATAAAATGGTTTGTAATACTTGCCGTATGAAGCAGTTAGTTGGAGTTTTTATTACTAGAAGTGTTTAGAAATCAATAATGGCCTATCTTTGGCAATTAAATTAAAAGAGTAATGCAGCTTTGACTCCATGAACATGGCAGATTATTTGTTTTAATTTAACTATAACATTTGACAAGTCTGATCCCATGATCACACTACAGAAAAAGAAGGTTATTGCCAAGGATAGTCCACCATACCTAATACACTTCTGGTTTTTAAAATCAAAAGTACTTATCTGTCATTACAACCCTACTGCTGTGCTACAGCAGTTTAGCTGTTAGCAGTAGTTGGTAGATTAATATAACATCTAGTTTAATAGAAAGTTCTCTTTTTTTAACTCAGGCAACAATTCTAAACTCTATTTTGCTACCTAGTATGGTGCTTGGCGGTGCGATTCAAGTGGAGAAAAAACAAAAAACTGTAATCTGCAATTATTTAATTGGTCTCAATTGACACTTACTTAAAAATTTTAGTATATAGCTACTTAAAACCCCTACTTATGTTTGAAGTCAAAGATCCCAAAAAATTACAACATTTTATTTTAGCCTTTTTACCTGCAGCTACAAGAAAGAAAAAATCTGTATTTTTAATACCGAAATAGATAGAAATATTCTGTTTGTAGCATTGATTCTTAACAAAGGTGTCGCAATTTTTTACACCCAAAAAATTGTTTAACCCCCCTAACAGGCCCTTCAAAATTACTCAATAGGGGTTGCTATTTGAAAAAAATAAGTCATCCCCTACCCCCTACCTTGTTAGGGGGGTTAAAGATATTTTTGATGTATAGTAAAAAATTACGGAACTTTTGTTAACAATCAACGCCACAAACAGAATATTTCTATCTATTTCGGTTTAAAAAATACAGATTTGTTTCAAGACTTAATTTACACACTATAAATTTCACAGTAGGTGAATAGTAAAAAAGTACTAAAATTTCACTATCTTTTGTTATGAATCATAACCCTCATGTTAATTAGACTAAAACCTCACTAACTCAACTATTTGAGGACATATTCGAGTATGACATGGTTCTAATACCCTACTTTATTGAAGATCTGCGGCATTGGATTCTAGTTGTTGTGGATTTTAGGACAAAGGAAGTGTTAATTCACGATAGTCTTAGTGGAACTTACAACAGTATCGGCGAGAAAGTTCTGGAGTATCTGGGAGCGGAAGCACTTCACAAGAAGAAAAAAATCCTACAGTCGAGAAAATGGGGAATCAAAGGTAAACTAGGCCCAAAACAAGGAAACAAGATGGATTGTGGAGTTTTTCTGTGTATCAATGCTGAATCTCACGCGGCCGACAGGTCCGCAACGGTTACGCAAAAGGATGTGCCCTGGTTACGTATGACAATGGTGAAAGAACAACAGGAGAAAAGAATACTCTCACACCAAAAACCCCCACCCGAAATACCCGGGATAAAGCCAGCACCAATGAAGAAGGGAAGAAAGAAAATATCACGTAGACCATCACCTATGTTTGTGTCGGAGAGGACCAGCAGCTCAGTTAGCAGTAGCCGGAACGCCGACGGAGGAAGAAAAACAAAAGATACAGCACCCACCGAGTAGTCGTACGCGGACCACCCAAGAGAGAAGACGTTGTTCCAAATAAAAAGGTAAGAAAAGGTGGTTATGAGACAGACACTTCAACCAGCTCATCGTCATCAAGTACAGAGAGTAGCTCTTCCGACAGTTCATCGCGATTGAGTGGGACCTCACTGGAACAACAGGATCTGAAGGCGCCGCCTACCCCTGGAGCAGAAGAAGAGGAACCATCAACAGTAAAACCTGAAGTCAAAGTAGATAACGAGGAAATGCAGATATCTGAGGAAGTCCCCCTTGAATTTGGAACCTACTGGGAGTTTCTCTCCATTGATACGACCACATTACTTGGTCTTGCCCCCCTCACCGACTTAGGCCCCGAACAACCGGACGACAAGGAAACAAAAGAGCTGATCCCGGAAGACCTACAGCCTGAAACAACGAAATCAAAAGAGACTGGGAATCTGTGGGTGTGACGAGCTGGAACACTGCGATGCGTCGAGAAGTCAAGGCGATTATAGTGGACGACTAAGGATCAGAAGGAGCTATTGAGACACTACAAGTGAAATTTGAGAACAATCAAATGTACCGAAAGAGGGAGGGCCGTAAGAAGAAAAAAGATCGGAGAAGAGTGAGAAAATTCAGAGATAGGAATGAACGCGTTAAGTATTTTAAGTCTTAAGAAGAGCCAAAAACAAGTTTGTCTGTTAAATGTAGACTGGAGTTTTTGTTTATCTTTTTATAGAAGAAGTTTGACTGTTATTTGAACCAAAGTTTTGTTTTTGCTGTGTTTTAGTAAACTAAGTTTTGTAAATTTTTTTTATAGTTGTTAATCCGTACCGAGAAATGTATAAATATATTTGTTTGACACAAACGTGTGGTTATTTAAATATAGTAGCTTAAAATATAGGTTAAGACCTGAAGTCCAAGCTAATAGGGTGAGTCATATTGATTGGGTGACTCAAGCTAATAGGGTAAAAAAAGAGAGAAAAATTAATGTCTAAGGTGAAAAAAAAATAGTTGGGATAAAGGCATAGAAAGATGGAAGATGGAGAGGTGAAAGAAATTTATTTTTTTATTTCTAGAAAGAAAGGGGGTCGTACTTTTAGTACTTTTAAAGACCTGAGGTAAACACCAGGAAAGGTACTCAGTGACATGAGGGAAAGACCTGAGGGAAAGCACCAGGAAAGGTACTCGGTGACACGAGGGAAAAGAACTGAGGAACAGTGCTGAGGGAAAAGTGCCCAGAACTTTAGTCGGGGGGCCGGTACTGGGTACTTCCCCCCACCTTGTTGAGCTCGGTGCATCCCAATAGAAGAACATAATTGTTTACATTTTGATCAGCTGTGTAATTTAATTGCTGTTATTTATTTTTCATTTCAATGAAACTCATTGAGTAAATTTATTTACTAGGCTGTTTGAGTTTGTGTAAACATAACCCCCAAGACGGGTTGTGTTAGTATGATTGTATCTTAAATTTGTGTATTTATCGTTGTTTTGTGTCGCTATGACGGACAGTGTTAGCGTGTTAGTCATGCAACTTAAATTTGTGCATTTACCGTTGCTTTGTGTAGTTATAATTTGTTTATTTATTGTTTTTTTCTTTTAAATGCCTCCGACGCGACGACAACGAAACATAGACAGGAGGCGTAATCGTGGTAACTACAGAACAGTGGCTTAACTCATCACAATCAGCACCTGGCCCACAATCTCAACTATTAGGTTACAAATGCGCCCTAGCACTACCCCAAAACGAGAACGAAATTTTTGTTCTCAATTGGCAATCTATCAATGACCTGTGTTGCCTGTACAGCGAGGCATTTTGAGGAGAAAACCGGCCGGAATGCTTTAGGTTTATCAATAACGAAGATTAACATGAACAACCTTTTTGACTATAAGTCAGGAAATGTTTGTAGAAAACATTAAAAAGCAATACCAGAGGTTATGAAATATGATACAATATTTACAGGAAATGTTGATTACTGTTATATACGTCGTGAGTATCTCCATGAGTTACACACCGGTAATCTTTGAGTTGACTCTTTTAAACTCATTGTAAATATGACTTTTATTAGTTTTGAAGTAATACTCTGCAATTGCTCGAATTTGAGCAACATGTACACTGGTTCATATAATTTCAATGTTATAAGACATCCAAGGACGGATTCATACACATTTGCCTATTGAAAATGCATATTAATGAAATACCCCCGTCACAGCAAACCTGCAGACTTAGCGGATTTCCATTTGCCTGATTGCATTTACACTAAAATGTCTCCTTAAAAATATCACATTTATTCCCTATTTAAATAGAATTAGTTTAAGAAGAACTTAGGTATGCTGCAAAAGGGAGGGTAAAAAACTGTTTTTTTTTTCGCAAAATGTTAATACTGTAGGTTACAGGTAAGAACAGGTAAGAAATTAATGAGTTTTCCAAATTTGATCAAAATATATACATAAACAAGCAAACTACGACAGTTGACCTATTCTCCATAAGAATAACATGGGAATTTTAATTTACAATTTTTTGGAATTTTCTCCGTAACCTTTTTTTTAATCTACAAAATGGTTTGGAAAGAAATTGTGAAATTTTGTGTTTTTATGGTAAAAAAAGGGAAAAACCTATTTTTACCCCATAAAACCCCCCATAAATCTCCGTTCCCATAGTCTGATCATGCT